CGGAGGTTGGTGGGGTGGTACGTGAGGACGAGGGGGATTCTTTTTTGGTTCTTATTGCGTGGACGGGGTGTGAGGGATGAGTTGTGGGAGATGTGGGAGACACGGTTGAGGGCGTTTTCGACCACTGAGGGGGGGAAGTTACGGTCCTTGAAAAACGAGGACAACTGAGATGTACGGGAGTGGAATGCCTCATCCTGGGAACAGATGCGGCGGAGGCGAAGGAATTGGGAATAGGGGATAGCATTTTTGCAGGAAGGTGGGTGGGAGGAGGAGTATTCTAGGTAGCTGTGGGAGTCGGTGGGCTTGAAATGAATATCGGTTTCTAGGTGGTTGCCCGATATGGAGACAGAGAGGTCCAGGAAGGGGAGAGAGGTGTTAGAGATGGTCCAGGTAAACTTAAGGTTGGGGTGGAAGGTGTTAGTGAAGTGGATGAACTGTTCGAGCTCCTCGTGGGAGCACGAGGCGGCGCCGATACAGTCATCAATGTAACGGAGGAAGAGGTGGGGTTTAGGGCCGGTGTAGGTACAGAAGAGGGATTGTTCCACGTAACCTACAAAGAGGCAGGCGTAGCTTGGGCCCATGCGGGTACCCATGGCCACCCCCTTTGTCTGTAGGAAGTGGGAGGAATTGAAAGAGAAGTCGTTGAGGGTGAGGACGAGTTCGGCTAAGCGGATGAGGGTGTCAGTGGAGGGGGACTGGTCAGGCCTGCGGGACAGGAAGAAGCGGAGGGCCTTTAGGCCATCTGCATGGGGAATGCAGATGTGGAGGGACTGGACATCCATGGTAAAGATGAGGTGTTGGGGACCGGGGAATTGGAAGTTCTGGAGGAGGTGGAGGGCGTGGGTGGTGTCACGGACATAGGTAGGGAGTTCCTGGACCAAGGGGGAGAAAATGGAGTCCAGATAGTTGGAGATCAGTTCGGTGGGGCAGGAGCAGGCGGAGACAATGGGTCGACCAGGACATTCAGGTTTGTGGATTTTGGGAAGGAGATAGAAGCGGGCAGTGTGAGGTTGGGGAACGATGAGGTTGGAGGCCGTGGGTGGGAGTTCACCTGAGGTGATGAGGTTGTGGATGGTTTGGGAGATGATGGTTTGGTGCTCAGGGGTGGGGTCATGATCAAGGGGGCGGTAGGAGGAGGTGTCGGAGAGTTGGCGTCTGGCCTCGGTGATGTAGAGGTCAGTGCGCCATACTACAACTGCGCCTCCCTTGTCCGCGGGTTTTATGGTGAGGCTGGGATTGGAGTGGAGGGAGCGGAGGGCTGCACGTTCTGCAGGGGAGAGGTTGGAGTGGGTGAGAGGGGTGGAGAGGTTGAGACGATTGATGTCTCGACAGCAGTTGGAGATGAAGAGGTCGAGGGAGGGTAGGAGGCCTTGGGGTGGTGTCCAGGAGGAGGGGGTGTGTTGGAAGCAGGAGAAGGGGTCAGTAGAGGGAGGGTTAGGTTCACGGTTGAAGAAGTAAGCGTGGAGGCGGAGGCGGCGGAAAAACTGCTCTATGTCCAAGCGTGAGCGGTATTCGTTGATCTGTGGGTGGAGGGGGACAAAGGTGAGCCCTTTACTGAGGACTGACCGTTCGTCCTCAGTAAGGGGGAGGTCTGGAGGGATGGTGAAGACTTGGCAGGGCTGGGTTCTACTGTCCCCTCTGGAGCTGCTGGCTGTGGAGGCGGTGGCCGGAGCGACATCGGTGTCAGCTGTGGGCGGAGTTGTGTCGGCGTCGGCATCAGAAATAGAGAGATATGGACTATGTGCAAGCAGATGGGATTAGTTTAGAATGGCATCGTGGTTAGCACAGACATGGTGGGCTGAAGGACCCATTCCCATGCTGTATATGTTCCATGTTCTAATCTGGAGGCCCAAACCAGGATCATTGATTCAAATCTCACCATAACAGCAGATAAACTTTAATAAAATTGGAATTGAAAGTTAATCTCAGTAATGGTGATCATTGATTTGTTGTAAAACCCATCCAGTTCAATAAGGTCCTTTGGGGAAGGAAATCTATCGTCCTTACTCAGTCTGGCCCAAATGTGACTCGAGACCCACTGCGATGTAGCTGATTCTTAAATGCCCTCTGAAATGCTGTATAGACCATTTAGTTAAAAGGCAATTAGGTATAGGCACCTACGTTCCATGAACGAATCACAAAAAAACAGAATTTGATTTGGGGAAAATCAAGCAGAATTGCTTCCTGAATTCATTCCTTGATGATACATCTAAGATCATGCTGCCTTATTTGGATTCTTCCACTGTAGGAAATAGAGGAACTCAATCATTTCTGTCACTTTAAACACTTCAATTAGATCATCTCTTAGTCCTGATATTATCTTGGTGAATTTGCAATCCATACACTCGAAGGCCAAGTGTCCAGAACTGAACATAGTGCAACAGATAGGAATGGACCAAAGCTATAAACATTTGAAATCTTGAAATGCACAAGTGCTGTTTCCTCACTTTCATATTCCATTACCGTTGAGATAAAAGCTAACATTCCATCACTTTTTTAGCACCTATGCAATGGAGAACTGACATCCTCTGCAGACATCAGTTACCGTTCCTGGACAGGTATCTGCAAACTGCTGTTGACTGCACCATCTCCTTTTGTGATGAAATTTTTGTTCTGGCTTTCTTCTCACGGCTTAAGGATTCTAGAGCGCCCAAACCCTCAAATATGAGAATCACTTCTGAAGCAATGGTCCTTGCTGGCTGTCAGCACTTTTAACTAGAGATGTTTGTTTTTGACTGATGCACTGAATTCAAGTCAATTTCATTTTCTGTAGAAAGATCAATTAAATGGTCTGCCGCACAGATTTGCTCCTTCCCTTAAAATCCTTGTCCTCCTTTAAGGGCTCTGAATTATCCTTGCAGAAGTTACGTTTTTTTCAGATTAATGGGTTACAATCAAGGATTTTGACCTGCCCTTTATTGATAAACTGCGGCCACCTTGAAAACTCAGGAATAAATATGCAGCACCGTTTAATAATGAATCACACAAAGTTGGATGGTTATGCGTCTAGTCTATTTGTACTGAATGAGCAGTGGTTGGGTAGTTCAATCGATCTGTATCCCGATACTCTCAATGGTTTTTCTTAAGTCTTGTCTGAATTTTAGACTTGTGCATTTCAACATTTCAATTTGGAATGTAGCCCATTTCCTGTGGTTGGATAACCTGCTGGCATTTGGCACTCACTTTCTAAGGTTGAACCAGCCTGTTCACACCCCTATTTGATCCTGAGATGATCTTCTGAATCATAAAACATCCATTGCAAAGACTGTTTAATTCCAGTTCCCTGACATCATCCCAGTAGTTGAACTGATTCTGACGCTTTCATCTATGCCTTTATTATCTCTAGGCTTTTCCTATAATACAAAAGTATTGCAGTCATAGAATGGTTACAGCACAGAAAGTGGCCATACAGCCTGTTGTGTCTGTGCTGGCTCTTAGAAGAAGTACACCTAGAGTAGTTTCCTGCATTCTCCCCATCGCTTATACATCTTCAAATAATCCAATTCTCTATTAACACCTCCACCCAGAGCTTTTCAGATTCTAATCACGCACTGAATGAAAAAGATTTTCATATTGCATTGCATTTTCATCAATTACCCTAACTCTGCGTCCTCTGGATCATGATTCTTCCATCAGTGAGAATAGTTTCTCCCTATCCACTTCTGTCCAGATCTATCATGATTTTGAATACTCTACCAAGTCTCCTCTCAATCTTCTCTTGGACTAAAACAGTCCCAACTTCTCCAATCCATCTACAGAAGTAACTGAAGTTGTTCAGGCCGGAACCATTGTTGTGCATTTTGTCTGCACCTTCTCATATGCCTTTCCAGATTAACCAGTTGAAGCCAAATCAGGGTTTTATACAGCTGTGTCACAACTTGCTACAAAAGTACTTCAATGACTGTACAGAGCTGAGTCATCTGCTGTTTGTGAAAAGTAGGTCTTTCTTTTCTAAATTTGACTGTGCCAATACACTGGCCAACCCAACACTTCCCATCCTCTGCAAATGTAAGCTCATAAAAAACTCTGCTGTTAATATCCTAATGTGTACCAAGTTCTGTTCAACCCTATTCTTGCTTCCCTCCATGGTTTTCAGATTTCTCCATGGTGATGCCCATCCCTATTTGGGTGACTGGTCTGGCTTTACAGACCTCTGAGATCTGTGTGCTGTACCATTTCTGGTCTCGTTATTCCAGATTCTAAAGAACCTTTAGATGCCAAAGCTCCAAGCTCTGGAATTCTGTTCCTAAACCCTACCACCTTTCTACCTCTCTCTACTTCTTTAAGCTGCTCCTTAAAACTTGTCTCTGGACAAGTTTTGGTCCACAGTTCTAATATCTCCTGCCGTAGCTTGATGTCAAATTGTGTTTGATAGCAGTTCTGTGAAAAGCTTTGCAAGTGCCTTGTTGAACCTGCTTTATAATTGTTAGCATTTTTCTCCACTAAAGCATAGTTTAATTTGTCCTCTGGTCACCGATCAGTTCTCTAGTGAACCACCATGTTGAGGCTGATAAAATCAATTGTTCATTTTAATATATATTTCTTTTAAGACATTGATATAATATGAATCAAACACTTAAGTTTCTGTTTTCAGCTCATGAACACCATGGATGAAAGACATTTGAAGAAACTTGAAACTTGGAAGAATGTGTTCAGACCATCCATTTGACAGACGTAGTGCAGACATTCTGAATTATCCTCATGGAAATTTACAATGGTTTTCAAATGGATGATCAACAGCCCAATCAATGAATTTAAACTTGAAAAGCTAAATTTCATGAACTGTACTATTTAAGAGGTTGTACTTACCCATTTGCTGCAGTACAAATAACTCCAAATAGTTAAAGTAAATGATCCATATTCACAGAAACTGTATACACTTAAACAGTGAATAACCTTTACTTCATTAGGTGCATTAAGCAATCCTTACCTCACAAAATAAACAGCAAATTGTAATTTTGTGCCCAATTTTTATGCTGCTAAATAAACAAGTTAGACCCTCTCCAGCCTGTCACCATATCTAGACATGCATTCACCAGCCTGCAGACATCCATGGGGTTCTATCCAATTTTCACTAATGGTTTCATCTGAATGGACAAGATCTTCTACAAAACATTGGCATATGTAATTCAAGATTAATTCAACAACACAGGATATTATTCACGGTGCTGCACCCAGGCCAGTGAATTCACGTGAAGAACCCAAAGAGAAATCTTCATTTAGAGGACATAGCTTCACATTGGTGATGGGTGTTCAAATGGGGAGAAACATTCCAAATGGAGGTCAGAACAGATGAATGTACAGTCATGCACCTTGCGAGAATGAATATAGAAAGACAAAAATGGCATAATGTTGAAAGCATATATATGCAGAGAGTGCATGATACCTATTATTCAGTAGTATTACAGCAGACAGAAACTCCAACTATGGGAAAAGCTGGAAGAGTTAGGATTATTTCCCTTGGAATTAAATTGGTTGAAGGAACTTAAGAGTGATGAGAAGTTTTGATAGAGTAAATAAGGAAAAATATGCCCACTAATGAGTGGATCCATAACTAGATGCTTTGAAAACAGTTCAACTTACAGAACAGGAAGTGCTGGAGGTCTTAGAAAACATAAAAGTGGATAAATCTCTGGGACCTGATCAAGTGTATTCCAGGACATTGTGGAAAGTTAGGGAGAAAATTGCAGGACTCTTTGCAGAAATATTTGTATCATCTATAATCACGCAAAGTGCCAGAGGTCTGCAAGGCAGCTAATGTTATGCCTTTATTTAAGAAAGGTTGTAAGGAGAAGCCTGGGAACTATAGATCTGAGTCTGACATCTGTGGTGGGTAAGTTATTGGAGGTGATTCTGAAAGATTGCATTTACATGCATTTGGAGAGGCAAGGAGTGATTAAGGATAGTCAGCATGGTTTTGGACAAGGGAAATCATGTCCAACAAACTTGATTTGAGTTTTCTAAGGAAGTAACCAAAAAGATTGATGAGAGCAGAGCAGTAGACATTGTTTATCTGGACTTTAGTAATGCCTTTGACAAGGTTCCGCATGGTAGACTAATTAGTAAAGTTAGATCACATGGGATTCAGGGAGAGCTTGCTAATAGGATACAAAACTGGCTTTATGGTGTGAGACAGAAGGTGGGGGTGGAGGGTTGTTTTCAGACTGGAGGCCTGTGACTAGCGGTGTTCCACAGGGATCCCTGCTGAGTCCACTTCTGTTTGTCATTTATATAAATGATTTGGATGAGAATTTATGAGGCGCAATTAGTAAGCTTGCGGATGACACCAAGTGGTATAGTAGACAGTGAAGAAATATAAAGTGATCTTGTTTGTATTACCAAAATGCAATACCTCACTTTTATTCAAATTAAAATTAATCTGCCACTCCTCAGCACATAAACCCAATCGATCGAGGACAGGACTTACACATATAAGGGTCGTGCCCTAGGTAGTGTTGTAGGATGGAGCGACCTAGGGGATCAGGTAAATAATTCCTTGAAATTTGCATCGCAGGTAGACAGGATGATTAAGAAATTGTTTAACACGCTTGCCTTCATTGCTGAGACCTTTCAGTATCGGAGTTGCAACATCATGTTGAAGTTGTACAGACCTCTTCTGGAGTAGTATGTGTGCAGTTCTGGTTGCTGTGTTATAGGAAGGATATTACCAGGAATGAAATGTTTGAGATATAAAAATAGAATGGAAAGGCTGGGCCTTTTTTCGCTGGAACACAGGAGATTGAGGGATGACCTTATTGAGGTTTATGAAATCATGAGGGACATAGATAAGGTGAATGACAAAAATCTTTTCCCTAGGGTGGGGGAGTTCAAAACTAGGGGGCATACTTTTAAACTGAGAGTAGAAAGATTTAAAAAGGACATGAGGGACAACTTTTTTACACAGAGAGTAGTTCTTGTGTGGAATAAACTGCCAGAGAAAGTGGTGGCTACAGCTACAGTTCCAATGTTTCAAAGACATTTGGATAGGTTCATGAATAGGAAACATTTGGAGGGATATAGGCCAAATGTAGGTAGGTGCGACTAGTTCAGTTTGGGAAGATGGTTGGCATGGACTAGTTGGACCAAAGGGTCTGTTTGCATGCTGTATGACTCTATGACTATGGTTCTAGAGGTCATAGAACACAGAACATAGAACAGTACAGCACAGTACAGGCCCTTCGGCCCAGGATGTTGTGCCGAACTTTTACCCTAATCCTAAGGTCTATCTAACCTCCACCCCTACCTTATACTATCATCCATATGCCTATCGAATAGCCACTTAAATGCCCCTAATGAGGCCGACTCCACTAGCCTCTCCGGCAATGCATTCCACGCCCCTACCACTCTCTGAGTAAAGAACCTACCTCTGACATCTCCCCTGTATCTACCTCCACTCACTTTAAAACTATGCCCCCTCATAATAGCTACCTCCACCCTAGGAAAAAGTCTCTGGCTGTTCACCCTATCTATACCTCTGATCATTTTGTACACCTCTATCAAGTCACCTCTCATCCTTCGTCGTTCTAAAGAGAAAAGCCCTAACTCTCTCAACCTTTCCTCGTAAGACCTTCCCTCCATTCCAGGCAACATCCTAGTAAATCTCCTCTGCACCTTTTCCAATGCCTCCACATCTTTCCTGTAATGAGGCGAGCAGAACTGGACACAATACTCCGGATGTGGCCGAACCAGGCTTTTGTATAGCTGGAGCATAACTTCACGGCTCTTGAGCTCAATCCCTCTATTAATGAAAGCTAACACACCATATGCCTTCTTAACAACTCTATCCACCTGGGTGGCAGCTTTCAGGGATCTGTGAACATGAACCCCAAGATCCCTCTACTCCTCCACACTGCCAAGAATCTTTCCATTAACCCTGTATTCTGCTTTCAAGTTTGTCCTTCCAAAATGAATCACCTCACACTTTTCAGAGTTAAACTCCATCTGCCACTTCTCAGCCCAGCTCTGCATCCTATCAATGTCCCTTTGTAACCTAGAACAGCCCTCTGCACTGTTCACAATGTGACCCACCTTCGTATTGTCCGCGAACTTGCTAACCCACCCTTCCACTCCTTCATCCAAATCATTTACAAAAATCACAAATAGAAGAGGACCCAGGACAGATCCTTGTGGTACACCACTCGTAACTGAGTACCATGTTGAATATTTTCCATCCACTACCACCCTTTGTCTTCTAAGGGTCAGCCAGTTGTGAATCCAATCTGCCACATTTCCCCCGATCCCTTGCCTCCTTACCTTCTGCATGAGCCTACCATGGGGAATCTTATCAAATGCCTTACTTAAATCCATGTATACCACATCCACTGCTCTACCTTCATCCACATGTTTGGTCACCCCTTCAAAGAATTCAATAAGGTTGGTGAGGCATGATCTACCCCTCACAAATCCATGCTGACTATCACAAATCAAACTGTGCCTTTCCAAGTGATCATAAATCCTATCTCTCAGAGCCCTTTCCAATAATTTGCCCACCACTGAAGTAAGATTAACTGGCCTGTAATTTCCGGGGTTATCCCTATTCTCTTTTTTGAACAAGGGAATGAAATTTGCCTCTCTCCAATCTTCGGGCACCATACCTCTGGACAGTGAGGACGAAAAGATCATCGCCAAAGGCCCTGCGATCTCTTCGCTCGCTTCCCATAGAATCCTTGGATAAATCAGGCCCGGGGGACTTATCTATCTTCAACTTCCTCAAAATTCCTAGCACATCTTCCTTACTAACATCGACCTTCTCTAGCCTACCAGCCTGTTTCACACTGTCCTCCTCTACAACTAGGTCCCTCTCAGTTGTGAATACCGAAGAAAAGTATTCATTAAGGACCTCTCCTAACTGTTTAGGCTCCATGCACAAATTCCCTTTATAATCCTTGATCGGCCCTACCCTTTCTCTGGTTATTCTCTTATTTCTCACGTACATGTAAAAAGCCTTGGAGTTTTCCTTGATCCTATCTGCCAAGGTTTTCTCATGCCCCCTAATAGCTCTCCTAAGCTCTTTCTTCAGCTCCTTCCTGGATAACTTGTATCCCTCTACAGCCTTTTCCATACCTTGTTTCCTAAACCTTACATAAGCCTCCTTCTTCCTCTTAACCAGTCGTTTGACCTCTCTTGAGAACCAAGGCTCCCTCACTCGACCGCATCTTCCCTGCCTGCTAGGGACAAACATATTGAGCACACTCAGTATGCATTCCTTAAACAATCTCCACATTTCAATAGTGCTCTTCCCTGACAGCATCTGTTCCCAATTTATGTTACCCAGTTCTTGCCTAACAGAATTGTAATTACCCTTCCCCCAATTATAAACCTTACCCTGCTGTATGTATCTATCCTTTTCCATGACTATTGTAAAAGTAACAGGGTTATGATCACTACCGCCAAAATGCTCTCCTACCAACAGGTCTAACACTTGGCCCGGTTCATTGCCAAGCACCAAATCCAAAGTGGCCTCTCCTCGTGTTGGTCTATCTACATACTGTGTCAGGAATCCTTCCTGAACGCACTGGACAAAATCCGCTCCATCTAAACTATTACAACTAAAATGTTTCCAATCAATATTTGGAAAGTTGAATTCACCCATGACTACAACCCTGTGACTTCTGCACCTTTCCAGTATCTGCCTCCCAATCTGCTCCTCTACTTCTCTGCAACTATTAGGGGGTCTGTAAAAAAACCCCAACAAAGTGACTGCCCCTTTCTTGTTCTGGACCTCAACCCAAACTGACTCTGCAGACATATCATTCTCGAACTGCCTTTCAGGAGCTGCTATACTAGCCCTGACTAGCAATGCCACTCCCCCGCCTCTTTTTCCACTCTCCCTATTTCTTTTAAAGCATCTAAATCCCAGAACTTCCAACAACCATTCCTCTCCCTGAGTTACCCAAGATTCTGTAATGGCCACAACATCGGAATTCCAAGTACCGACCTATGCTCTAAGTTCATCCG